GCAAAGCTGACTAATCTTTTCCAAAATCCGCTATATCTCAGTGGGAATTTGTGTTAGGACTTGAAAATTCTAGAGAATAATAAGCATGCGCTTTATTGCACACGCATTACATTAATGGGAAGAAGATTATTATACTTCAAATCTAAATGCAATGGAATCAAACATTTTTCAGCATGATTTGACCTAAAAGCTAAAATGACATTTTATCGGTCTGACCACCGACTCTCACGTAGGAGTGATAGTTGTGCCATAATGTCTAATAGGGAGTAAATGAGCAAAACCCGCTTTGTGTAATGAAGAAAACAATAGTGACAACGCAATTCGTGTTCAAGATGGAGCCAAGAATTCTGGCGGCTAATCGTTTTCTAGAGGAAAAAAACCATTAAACACAAGTGCTTCATTAGAAATGTCTGCGACTATAAGAGAATGAGAGAAAAGCGAGGATGCATTATTCTTCTCATTACGTTGACTTCCACAGATCTACATTTTATTAATGAAGCATAATTTATCAATGCTTGTCTTTGCTATAAACATATAGTCAAGAATTCGCTTATAGTTTGTATTCAAGAAACGATTGTGCTAAGCTATTGAGATCCAAACGCGATATAAGAAAAATTTATTTTCGAGTGACGAACAGATTTAAAATCCACTTGTACTTGAATACCAGTAGAGCAACTCATAAAAAACAAAGACGATCATTGAGCCGATCGTCGTACATTCGGGAGAAAGGCAAAGAGCAGTGCCTGTTCCTGATTGAACGAAATTGTCGTTCAATGATACGATGACAGGAAGGTTTAGGCGATCTCACGAACATCAATAAGGGATGGGTGTGGGGTGGCGGTGGGCGTGGATGTGGGTGGTTGTGGCTAGGTTGGTGTCTACTTTCCAACAATAAACCCACACCCACCCTAATTTCCGATAAAATTTTATTGTTCGTGTATTATCTTTATTAGCCTCTAGGTTACAAACGGTTTCAAATCTTTTTCATACTAGATTTATTTATTTTGAGATTGGAGGTGTTTAGAACAAGATTCAATTATGTAATTCATATATTTTATGTTTAATTGCACGTGTTTGGTACAGGTCTAGAACAGTTGCTCGCCAAACAGTTGCGCGCGGACAGTTGTTTGTGTGGACAGCTACTCGCTATGGCTAGCAGCGCGAGCAAGTGTCCATACAAGTAACTGTCTGGATCCTGTTTGGAACAAAACAACAACAGAAGCCACGAAAAGATACAACTGATTCATCAATTACAGTGCAGCTCAATAGAATTTACCCCCTTTGTATTCTTCCTTTTTCTCAACCATAGTTTGGTCTTTTCTTTCGAAGTCACCTACCAAAAGAAAGAGCAGAATCTGCTGCATCTTTTGGTATATGAAACTTATAGATGAGATCGAAAGAGAGCAGAGAAAAACACATCGAGGAAAAAAAGTAGATTTTTTTTCACTACAATGTTGTGCATAATCTTTTGCTAGAGGGAGGTAACAGAGTCAGAGTTTTCTAGTTACTCAATCTTATAGAACTTTCTTCGCTGATCATCTTGGCTGAATTTATTTCGAGTTTCGCTTACAAAATGACAATGCTCCGATAACAATATTCATGATTTGGAGGTGCTGTGGATGATGGAACCAAGCAGTTCATTAGTATTGCAACCCAGATGCTATAATTATTTTAGAAAAACTCAAAATAAATTCAGCCGAAATGATCAGCGTGGAAGGGTCTACAAGTGTGAGTAACTAGAAAAGTCCGGCCCCTTCATCCTTAAATAATTGCAAAATTGCAGCAAAAAATACACGAAGTTCGAGATTTTCTAGGATTTATCACCTCTTTTCCATATTTTAAGTGTAACTAAATGGAAGCATAAATTCTATTTTTCACGAGCTTTCATGTGGTATAAAATTCATCAGGTATCCAACTCAAAAACATGGTGCTGCCTCCCCCTAACAAAAGGTTATGCACAACATTGTAGTGAAAAAAAATCTAATTTTTTTCCTCGATGTGTTTTTCTCTGCTCTCTTTCGATCTCATCTATAAGTTTCATATACCAAAAGATGCAGCAGATTCTGCTCTTTCTTTTGGTAGGTGACTTCGAAAGAAAAGACTAAACTATGGTTAAGAAAAAGGAAGAATACAAAGGGGGTAAATTCTATTGAGCTGCACTGTAGTTTTGATTAAACCAGATATTGTATTATGTTTTTTATAGTTGTACATATTTTGTTTCTATAAGTTCGAGCTGTTCAGATACTACAATTTACATTATATAAACCGGAAAACATTGTTTTTGTGATATTTATTTAGATCGGTTTTCTTTACAATTATATGAATATGTGTGTGTAAAACAATTCAAAATAAATCGAAGACAATATTTTACTTTTTGTATTTCTTCGAAAGAAAGTATTTTGTTGTATTGTTTTTCACAATCCGAAGATATTTTTTTGATTAGTATATAAGATAATATGCAGGAAAGGGGCTACAATTTGTAGTTCTGTTACATTATTTATTAATTGTCTAAGGAGTTTATAGTGCAAGGATTTAAGCCCGAGCTTGAATCAGTGTCCTATAAATGTTCTATACGCCCGGAAAAAATAGTTAGAGTCCGTTTTTCGAAGATATTGCCGCTATAAAAACATATTTTTTCAATAATAATTACATATTCTGAAAGCTCGTGGAGTTTTCTACCATCCGGTATATTTACATTTTAGTTTGTACCAATGTATCACCAAAACAAATTGGGTACAATGAAGGTACCCTCATGTCCAAATTCCCACAGACATGATTTTTTTTATTGTCATAAAGATTAGGTTTTTCAATTATTAATTATTATAGAATTGTCTTTTTAAAAAAAGCAACTATAGATTCTGATAGAGCTTGAAATTCTCTATCACTCTGTATATTTATCTATTTTCTGATATT